GTCATGACTGCAGGTGTTTTTAACTGCAGACTAACGAGCAGATCTAATCTGAGGCAGGTGTCCATTTAGGAAACTGACTGCGTGTGTCCTTATTTTCTACCTCCAATTTGAGTGATTCCATACTTTTTCCCTCAGAATTGAGTGATTCCATATTTTTTTCCCCATGCTTGGTCAATAAAAGTAACATTCGCAGACTTCCACAATGTTTTCTCTTCATTTCTTTGAGTGTTCCTGAAAGCCAACAAGTTGAACTTTGGAATGACCTTATTATTGAATCATGTTTTTGATCTGAGTTTGTTTTACATAATGAAATATCTGAATGAGTGCTCATCTAAGACTGGTGATTCCATACRTTTTGCCAGGAGTTGTATTATGTTGTGAAGGACTCAGCCACCATCACATTAAATTTAAGCTCAATACCTGTAAAAGCAGTGGTGGGCAGGCACTAATCTAAACATTAGTTCCACTAGCCCTAAAACACTAACTCAAATATTTAGGTCCCCAATTCTAAAGCAATGCATTGAAAATTTTAGCAAAAACTAATTCTAAAGCACTAAAATAACCCAATCAACCCATGAACATTCTTCAACAGACAACATGAGTCACATATTACCATGTTGCTCTCTTAAGATTTATCATTGACATTCCACAGCTGTATTTAGGTTCATATATTGTCACCTGGTGGATAAGTGACACAYATGAACAAAATGTGACAGCTTTCACCATCAGCTGTTAACATTAACATTGATCAATAACATTTATAGACCTGAGTTAGTGCTTCTAAATTTAGCCTATAAATTTAGCAAGTGCTAATCTACTAATAAATTTTAAAATTAGCAAAAGTCCTAAGTCACTACTCAGGAAATTAGTTCCCCTATTAGTGCTTTAATGCTTTAGGGGAACTGTGCCCACCACTGTGCAAAAGTGTTTGAGTTGTCATTTTTGTGTCAATGTCTATGACATCCATCTTAAACTGAACTCTAAAAGTTCACCACTTGTGCACGTCAAGTGATACCTTTCTGAAAATTTGTTTTAAATTAATCTAGTGGTTTGTGGAATATGCTGACATAGGCTGACTTCAATAGTTGATGCTAAAATTATATGTCAGTAGCACATGAACTGAGAATAACTTAGCCATGACTATGACAAGTTTTAGTACAATCCATCTATCATCTACCTACCTACCTACCTACCTACCTACCTACCTACCTACCTACCTACCTACCTACCTACCTACCTACCTACCTACCTACCTACCTACCTACCTA